AAGTTTATTTTGATTAAAAATCAAAATAAACAAACCAAACACGCATTTATTTGATTTGATTCAAGTAAACAAAGGTCTGAACATTACATGACCGAAGTATTATGCAGTCACGCGACGTAATCAGTATGAAATAGCCCCTGAAAGATGGCGTTCGGAGACTTTTGGCGGAGGTCTGTATATTTATTTAGACATTATAATAAACTCTAATAGGCTCAATAAACTTATGCAAATAATTAATTTAAATTAAAAAAATTAAAACAATTTTTTTAAAGTTAAATTTCAAATAATAATAAAAGTTAGTATTTTACCAAACAAATATTGATAAAAGATTATTAAATTTAATGTATTTTGTAGCTTATAATATTTTAAATTATAGATGAGAGATAAATTTTTTAATAATAATCTAAATTAGACAAATTATATTAAAATTATAATAAGAGATATAATGAAACTCTTCTGATATAATAAAAACTGAAATTGTCAAATCTATATTAAAAACATAGAAAAGTATAAAATGAAATTATTTTGAAAAAGTTTTAGTAGACATTTATATCTTGAATGATTATTTCATAAAAAATTTCTTTTTCTTTTTAATAAATGTATATCTTTTTTAAATGTATATTTTTTTAAAAAATTAAATTCTATTTTATAAGTAATTAATTAAAATTATATTATTAGCAATTAAAATAGGAAGAGAATTTAAATAAAAAATTGATAATATTGAGTTTAGAAATTAAGTACAAATAGATATATACTGATTTTTTTATTAAATCATTGTAAATCTGAAGTTATGCTACTAAACGTTAAATGTTTAAAAATAAAAACTTCTTATAGTTACAGATAAAATGACTGTAAATAGTCTTCTTGATTTTTGATAATAATAATATAAATCTCTCATTTAATTTTAAATTTTTTATCAATTTTATTTATTAAAGTTGAAGAAGCATCACTAGCATCATCATGACCAGTATTTGATATATTTTAAAAAGATTTTTTCTTTTTTTTTCTATATATTTCTTATATATTTTTACTTGTATATATGTAATAATTCTAACTCTAGATACAATTATGCAATCATATTTTTCAATAAATATTATATTGTATAATTTATATATAGTGCATCATCAATAGAAATACACTATATAACATAATAAATTATTAAGTAATCATTTTGTAATTTTTAAATAAAATGCTTATAACAATTTGTTAATTTATTAATTAAATTTATCTTTTAGTTAAGAATTTTTCAATCCTATATCTAAAATGCCACTAAATTATATATATATATAATATAAATATAAAAAAGTTATCTATTTAAAAAATCCTGATAAATAAAAGATTATCCTTTCTCTATAAAACGTTTATAATTTGGAAAACATTGAACCTTTTATTTATATAATCCTAATGGATAATAAATATAATATTAGATGTGGATTGTGAATAAATAAAATTAATATATTATTAATTCAAAACGAAGTAAAGGACTATATATATCTATGCAAAGTGGTCTAATATCCATCCGCTCAAAAATTAAGTCAATGCTAATTGGCTTTTGCAATATTTTTTTTTAGTTAAGATCATTCTGGATTTAACTATGATTTCATTCCCTAGTAATAATTGCTTTATACATTAATGTTAATATATTATTATATTAAAAATGTTATCAACTTATAGAATTTGATTATTTAAAATGATGAGATTTCTAATTTAAGTAAATAAATTGCTCTAATTATTAGTAAACACTTGTTTTCAGTAATTCATCTGATTTATTCTTATCTTCTCTCTAAAAATAAAATTTTAATATATTTAAATATTAATATTTAGCTATATATAATTTTATCAATTTAAAATATTATAATTATTTAATAATGTTCAAATAATAAATAGCTTAAATATTCATAAAGATTTTGTTATAATCATTAAAGAATACTAATATATTAAACATACAGCTTTATTATTATATACTGTACTTAATTTAAAAAGGGTAAAAATTAAAAGAAATTAAGAGAAAATATAAATTTATCTAGTATAATAGTAAATTTACTATCTATAGTAATTTTTTTTTTTTAAATAAATTTCTCAAGCTTTAAACATAAAAAAAAATACGTATAAATTATTTTTTCCTCTCTTTTTCTTGTACAAGATACATAGGTCTCATAAATGGATCATCCTTTTTTTCTCCTTTGGATGCACCTCCAACCCAATTAAAAATACTAAAACGTTTCGTATTTTTAGCACTAAATGTAGAATTTCTATGTAGTGCACGTTTTGGAACATCACAAAGAGTAACAGTATCTACATTAGATACTCTTTTACTTGGTAAAGGATGAATCTGACTAGGCTCTTCCACAAATATTTTATCGTCTGATGTAAAAATATTTTGAGGTTGATATCCAGACCAGGACATACGTCTTTCAATTTTCTTAGTTTTGTTTTCCTGACTTGGGTCATTATTGAAACTAAATGACGCTGTAGTAGATGATACAGGATTGGATACTGATTGATTTTTCCATTCTGGCGCCGAAGATAAAATTTCTTCGAAACCTTGAGCTTCCATAATACGATCAAGAATCTTTTCGATATAAAGTCTCAAACCCTTATTGGCGTCATTAAGTGACTTAATTGTATCTTGCAATTCTATATGTCAGAATATTAAATTTAATATAAAGAATTTTATTTATATTAATTTAAATGTTTAGCTATTATTAATACATACTTTCAATGATAGAATGGTCACTCTCTTTATGAACACGCTCGAAAGTATTTAATAAAGATGTACGATCAAACTCATCAGTCAAGTCTGTTGCTATCGAATTTTCAATTTTAGCGATATCATCATCTTTTGGGGAAGAACTCTCATAACCATTCGTAACCTTTTCAACGGTGTCTGTATGTTTTTTTTCTGTGTATGATTCATTTCGCTATAGGTAAAAAAAAAAAGGATCAATAATTAAAAACATTAAACAATTTTTTAATATGAATTATTTACCTGCATGATAGGATTCAACATAAATGCACCTTTTAATATCTTTTCGTTTTCTTCTATTAATGCTTGATTCATATCTTTCACTCGTGATAATTCATTTTCTAATTGTTGAATTCTACGCACAAGACTTGAGCTAAAATTCGAGGATTCTTGTTTAGCTTCCTCAAGTTTAGCATTTATTTCATTATTATGTCGTTCTAGTTCTTTGATATTCATTATTTCGTGTGAAATTGACATTAAATATCGCTACCAAGAATCGTTTCAAAATAATCAAATGTAAAATGATCCATTTCGTCATTCAATTGGTCGTACGATCATTATATAATCATTTGAATCATTTGTCATACTTAGCCCTAAAAATAAAAAGCCCGAAATCGCCACCAATTGGTTTAAAAGTCAATAATACAATATGAACATTTTACCACATAAAAGGTATATTTTAAAGGTACTTTATTAGATTTACTTAATGTATAGTTCATATTCCAAGAATCGTTGATAAATCCGTGTTTATTTAGTTATCACGTATACAACCTTAAAAACAAAGAACGTGTACGAAAGGATGAAGAAAAAGCAAAACAAGAGGAAGAAGCAAGAGGAGAAAGAGCTAACATTGCAGTAAGTTCACAATATATTAATTTTTCTTTTTTTAAGCCAAGTATTTTATAATTATACTTATGTTTATATTCAAATTTAGGAGCGAGAACATCGATTATCAATCCTCCGACAGCGTGCAAAGCAACGTCAAGCTGTAACTGGAGAGAATAAGGATGAGCCACCGGAAGAAACGTCTAACCAGAATACTGATCCGATTCAAAATCATATCAATTTTTGGGCTGATCTCGAAAAGGTTACTAATCAGTTTTGTTTTTATCAATTTTTGAAAATTAAATTAATATATTTACTTATTAGGAGTCATTAGCAGTTGTATCAACAAACCCAGAATACGAAGCAGAAAAAAGAGCAAAAGAAAAAAAATGGGAGAAACAATTTACAATGTATCTAGGAGATGTGGTCAAAGGTATGTTAAAATTATCTTTTTTTTTTTTTTTTTTTTTTTTTTTTTTTCAAAACCATGATATTTATATATTCGTTTTAATAATCTATGTGAACAGAACAAAGGCCATGGTATACGCGAGTAGAAAGTGAATTTGAAAAACAATACAAGGAAGAGCAAATAAATGGGTATATATATATATGTGTGTGTGTGTGTTTAATAAGGATCTATAGAAATTCTGTATTAATTAACAAAATTTCTTTTTCAAGGTCCAAAGTTGAGGGTTCCGTATCTATTTATGATCCATTGTTAATAATGAAATCAAAATTAGATACGAGGTCAAAAAAGAAAAATAAAGTTGATACGCGTGAGAAACGCGATCGATCATATGTAAGGAACAAGAAAAAAGTCTTTTTCGAAATTTAATGCAATTTTTCTTGTTAGACTAATAATATTATGTTCATTTTATTAGAATAAAGGTAAAGAAAGTAATTCAGAATCGTCTTCACCGTCATCAATAGAAAAGTTACGTTCTGAAAGGTTAGCAAGAGAGAAAAAAGAACGTTTGCGAGTTCAGAAACTTCTTAATCCTCACATGGTAAACGAATCTGAACCTACTGGTAGATATCATTCTCAATTCAATCCCAATGCTACTAAAGCAGCTCATGAATTATCAGAGCAATCTAGTTCAGATAGATACAATAATCGATATCGTTCAAGAAGATATAAACCATATTAATTACAATTTCACTGTATTTTTAACTATATAATTAAAATAAAAAAATGATTTAATTGCGGCCTTATGATTATTATAGAACCATTATTCTAAATTAAAAGCTTTTCATTGATGATTAAAATTGTTTTTTAAAATATTTATTCATATTTTTTTTGAAATTTCAAAATGAATTAACAACAGAATTTAATTCAGTTTAATTAGTTTCTTTAAGAGTCATTTAAACTTCTTAGAAAATAATTGGTGGAAATGATGAATCAAATCATATCCTTTTTTTTTAAAACGGTAAGCGGTCCTAAGCGGTTTTAAAAATTTCAAGGCGTTTGTTATATTTACTTTTTAAGTTAAATAAATTATTTTTAAAGTTTAGAAATATTTTAATATTTTTTAGCAACAACTATTTTTAGCTAATAATTTTTTTTTTAAACTTACAATATAATTTACTAATATTTTAAAATTTTTTTTATATGACTTGTCTTAAAATATTTTATTTTATTAAAAGTTATTTCTGAATGTTAAAAGTATAATAAAATTTTCAAAATATAAAAATATCATATTAAAGATAATTTTATACATATACTTTAAAATAAATCTTTTAACTATATAAGTATAATTATACTAAATTAATAAAAGTATTTTAAGAATTAAGATTTTTGATTTATAACTTGACCTAACCCAATTTTTATTTATCATTTTTTTTAATATTTAAAGGTATTATTTAATTTGTGATTTAAATATTTAATCAAATATTTAATTCAATTTAATTTAAATTGAAAAATTGAATTTGATTTTGACTTGATTTGATTTTATAAAATTCTAATTCTAATTAATTGTAACCTATAAAAAGATGTAATTATAATTATTTATGAAAACATTAATTTTATTTTTTATTTTAAATATAACTTAATTAATATTAATAATCAGTACAAGTAATTAATTAATTAATTAAATTTCAATAGGAAATATTATCTAGAATATTATAAAAATCAATAAAATTTATTAATAATTTTATATAATTGTATTAATATTTCCGTTCTTATTATATGTTTATATTTTTTTTTTTTTTTTTTTTTTGTAAAATTATGACATTAAAAAAATAAAAAAAATTTAATTAATTCATATATTATTAACTTATATTAATAGTTAAATAATTATATAAAGATTAATATCAAGAATAAAATATGATATATGTTAGATTTGTTAAATATACATCAACTAATTTGATATAATTGATTATAAATTTTTATTACGTATATTAACTAATATTTAATAAGATCATAAATGTAAATAAATTAAATTTAAATTTTGAATAAGTTTGGATTCTTCTATAATCTTCGGAAAGAAGCCGATTTTTTCTAGCAATCTTTTTTTTTTTTTATAAGATTTGTTTAAAAGTTGCCCTGATTCTTTTGATTCTAAATATATTTATTTTACTTGGTTATTTAGAAAGAAAAGAAAATCGTGATTCTATTAAAAAATTACCTTTAAGCGATTCATTTTGGAATGCGATTGGAAGCCATAATTGGAGAAGAAGTAATATTTTAGAATTTCCTTTTTCCTCAAAAATTAATGCGGCAACCAATAGAAAAACTAGAAAAAAAGTAAAACGAATGCCGGCAGAAACAAGGAATAAAAATGTCGGAGATTTTTTTTTTGTTGTCGTAAGATTGATTGATATTATCTGTTCATTGTGTCTTGATTCTTTCGTGAATCTATGCCAATTTAAATTTGATTGTAAAAATGGATCCAGCTACAGTACCGACAAGATCATATCATGCTTTGCTGAAATAGGAAATTAATTTCCGACACGATTAAAATAAAATGGAATTCATATTAAACAAATATGTAATCTTTGCAAGAAAGTCAATTTATCGAAGTACAATTTGGAAAATAAGAATTTCTTTATATACTGTGAAGCATTTACCAGAATATATATAATACATAACTTAAAACTCGATTAACCCTTTAAATGAAAGATCGTCTAATCAAAAAGTTTCGTATTAATATCCTTCGGATACAGTGTTAATCAGATAATTTTTGAGTCAACCTTACTTACAATGAATTCTCGACAATCTATCAAAGAACTAGAACGATGTAATAATGAAATAACTGCCAAGTTTGAAGAAGTCAAGCAGGAATCCATGAATTTTAACGAAAGTCTTGTACGTAGAATTCAACAATTAGAAAATGAATTGTCACAAGTGAAGCATATAAATCAAGAATTATGGAAAGAAAATGGAAGGTTGAATTCTAAAATGCAGGTAAAAGATTTTATAAAAACAATTATTTAATGTTTAATTATCGATATTAACTGATTCTCGTATTTTTATCTTTTTTTTTTTTTACTATAGCGAAATGACTCTGGTTCAGAAAAAAAACATACAGAACAAGTTACGAATGATGAGAGTACCTTCCCGCAAGATGATAGCGTTAAAATGGAAAATCTTGACCTTTCTGCCGAGTTTGATCGTGCATTTTTATTAAACACATTTCCCTATAACGAACGTGTTCATAAAGAGAGTGATCATGCTATGATTGAAAGTATGTAATTAATAATAAACTAAATGTTTTAACTTATATTTTGTTATTTATTTTAAATTCAAATATTCTGATATAGAATTGCAAGATACAATTAAGTCACTTAATGACGCCAATAAGGGTTTGAGACTTTATATCGAAAAGATTCTTGATCGTATTATGGAAGCTCAAGGTTTTGAAGAGGTTTTATCTTCGACACCAGAATGGAAAAATCCATCAGTACCCAATTCGGCAAAAACTACTACTACAAGATCACAAAGTCTCAATCATAATCCAAGACAAAAAACCAAAACTAAGAAAATGGAAAGACGTAAATCTTGGTCTGGAAGTCACGACAGCAGCATTTCTCAAGCTCAAAATAGTGGTAGAATATTAAACGACAAAATAATAGTTGAAGAGCCGCTTCAGATCTATCCCTTACCAAGTGACCGAAAGTCAAAAGGAGAAACAATTACTTTTGGTGAAGCATCAAAACGCATACAAAGAAAAGATTCTACTAAAAATACAAGGCGTTTTAGCATCTTTAATTGGGTTGGAGGTGCAACCAAAGAAGAAAGGAAGGAAGATCCATTTATGAGACCTATGATTCTCGTACAAGAAAATGAAAGGAAAGGATAAAATTATATAAGAATAGTTTTGTTATACTCGGGTTTCTAAATTATTTTTGTTAATGAGTAACCCGGGATTATTGTATTTACTTTTCCATTCATCATTATGTTTTTGCATTTTAATTTTAATAAAGTCACATTTATCGTTAAATATATATGCTCTATTTATTGTGTTATTGAATATAAAAATTAAATTTTTCAAGTGTCATTCATCTGTTTCTATGCAAACTGCGGATTTAATCCGCTTTCCGTGGGTAGATTTGAGAACCAGCTTTTCTTTTTTAATAAAAAAAGAATGATAAGTGGAAAGAGCGGGAAGCAAGTTGAACGGGTAAACCTTGCAAGTTTCTTTTTTTTGTCATTTGAGAATTTCAGAGAAGTTACATAAAATCGCAATTTCGGCACTTTATAGAAATGTAAAATAGGCCGAGTGATATCTTTTTCTCAAAGTAAAGAAATAATATATGTAAACTCAATTAACAAAATGAATATTTCCTTCCGTCTGGGAATCACGTGAATTCCAATGTGGCTTAATAAATTACAAGAAATGAATGCATTTTTCGTATCTATTTTAAGAAAAATAATAAATGGAAAATGGCATTATGAATGACCTGAATAAATTAACTATCTATGCACTAAGGTCTTTTAAAGAAATAATATGACGAGCTTTTTTTTTTTTTTTTTTTTATTCAGATATAAGTAATTTACAGAGAGGTTGATCAACCTAATCTAGCGCATTATATGCATATAGTTTAAAGTATCAGTAGTAGTAGCATAGGGAAAATTATATTGCATGATTTGAATTTTATCAGATTGATAGATATGAGGTTTACACAAATATTTTTCTCGAGAATTAGAATTATTAAAAATATTAAATAATTTGGTAACTAAGCCAAATGATAATAATTATGTCATAACAAAGAATAAAAATTAAATTTTAATCTTTAACACCTAAATTTGGAATTTCACTTTATAAATTCGTTACACGTGAATAGTACAACCGTAATGAGCTATGAAAATCAATGACGTGTGTGGAAAGCTAATGATGACGAATTTCCAAACCATTTCTTGGGGGCTAAGTCAAACTGACTCAACATTATATAAGTACCTATTTCCCCCTCTCCAAAAGGAGTTTATTTAAAATCACCAAATTCAAAACAAAAAAAAAAAAACATGTCCGCGATACATTCGTACATTGGTGGGGCGGTTGGACTAATAGTCGTATGTATTTGAATTTAACCTTGTAAAGATAATTCATTTAACACTTCTTATTGGTTAATCTTTTTCAATATTATTAGTTGATTCTTGATCTGATTGCTATCTTCGAAATTTTGAAAAGTTCACGCAAAACACTTAATAAACTGCTTTGGATCTTGCTAATTGTTTTCTTTCCTGTAATTGGCTGCATTATATACTTGTAAGTGGTCAAATTTACCTATTTATTATGTTTCAAACGCAAAAACAAATAAATTAATAATAATTATTTTACCTCTTTAGCTGTTTTGGTCGCAAAGGGCATGTAAATAGATCAGTGGTTTGATTAATGTTCTGTATTAATTTGTCAATTGTAATTTATAATTAATTACTTTTGTAATAGTAATTCATTCAAGTTTCTTGCAATTTAATCGTAATCTTCTTGTTATCATAAATATACAGAAATGTAATTTTTAATCCTTCCTTCTTTTCATCTATTCATTTTTTTTTTCGACCAATTTTCTTGAAAATATTATCACGTCTCGTCATAAATAAATAAAAAGCCTCGGTGTTATTTTATTGCATGGCGCAGGAAATTATCATATTGATTATTCTTTTGTTCATTTTGTTATATAAAAGGTTATGTTATTTTCTTTTAAAGGAGAAAGAGAACCCACATTGTTTCTTCATCGCCGGCTCTTTCACAACGTTCATATTAGCCTAACTAACTTATTTCATTCATCATTGACTACGATCAATAACTTCAGAAATTACAGGAGGAATTGTTTCGCCTGATGTCAACGGCGCTAAGGATATTTAAGTTAGTTGAGTGTACCGTTGCTCGTAATGTAATTATATACCTAAATTTTTAACGAAATTCTCAAGCTCCAATGCAAGTCTTATTTTCTTTCTAAATTCTCTGAATTCCTGTCTGGTTAACTTGAGAAATAAATTGCCGGTGATTTTCATTACGAAGTCTCAAAAAAAAAAAAAAGGTCTCGTTAAGAAATATGTCTTACTCAACAAGTCCATCTGTGTAGTAGAACGCTATATATATGTATTAGAAATCCTTAAGCAACTAAACATATCACAGTTCGCACTTCTTATATTGCATACATATACCTTAAATCTTTTTTTTCCTTTGTAATATTATTGCTTTCGTCATTTCAACCTCATAAATTTTAACATGTAACTTCGT